AATAATAATAATGATAATAATAATAATAATAATAGTAATAATAATAATAAATAATAATAATAATAATAGTAATAATAATAATAATAGTAATAATAATGATGATAAACATGATAAACATTGGTGGTAATCATTTTATTTTACTTTTTCAATGTTGTCACCTTCATCTAATATTACTTTTTTCACTGTGAATGCAATGAAAGTTTCGGATGTTTTGGCGACATAAAGAAGTTTACTCTGAACATTATTAGAATTTAAAAATAAAACTTTACATAAATTTCATTACTTGTTGCCAAATATAAACGCTTTAAAACATGTTTGCATTATAAATATAATTTTATAATTTCTACTTTTTTCTTTTTTCTTTCTCTAAGAAAAGAAATGGGAAATTAGGGAAAATTATGTTTTTTTTAATTTTTTTTCTGAAAAAAAAGCAAATGAATTTAAAGAAATTAATTATTGTTATAAAAATGATGAAGAAAATACACACCTGAAAATTAATTTGCCAAAAGTGGTAAATCGAACAGTACTAACATCAGCTGAATATGTTACAGTCATAATTAGATGCGTTCGTATCTGGAACCAGAATACCGGAAGCTATTGCAGATGATTCATGGATTGATATCTTTCCCGAATGTTTATCTTTGGTTTTTAATAAATTGTTACTCTCAAAATATACAATAATTTTTACTCAATACTAATTGCTAGGACAGTCCGATCATTTAATGCAATTCATTTTCCTGTACCGATACTATAATTTTAACACAACCATATTTTGGTTTTCAAAATGAAATTTTCGAAACTCATCATCATTCATCTTTCTGGTTTAAGATAATTAATGACTAGATATCATTAATCAGGAAATTCGACAACCTAACCTGAAATAAACAATAACATAATTTAAATTTTTGACTTACTCAATGTTCCTAATATCTATCTCTTCGTATTTTACTTCATTTAAGCAAATACTTTTCGCGTTTATCCAGAACTTATTTAAAAGATCGTGTTTTGATATGAAAATTTAAAATTTATTTTAAGCAAAACATCTCAGCAAATGGAATAATCGATAAAATATGACACAAAAAAAAAGTGAAAATTATTTTTAATTAATTAGCACAAACATAAGATATAAATAAAAGTTATTTTAGCTGTATAATTGTAATATTGTCAAGAAAAAAAAACACATTTAATTAAGCATTTGCATCATTAAGATTGTTGATATAAATCCATTGAGGAAGGATATGCGATTTCACTAACTTTATTCTAACCAATTCTTAGTTAAATCAATTTGTAATCTCATTTATCTTTTCCAATATCATTTTTAAAGCTGAATCAAACGTGCTTAGGACAAAGAACATTAATTGATTAATTAATTAATCAATTAATTAATTAAAGCACCACGTCACAATATTACTTAATCACTTAATTAACAGAAGATTAGTTATCTTTTAATACAGTAAAATTGTTAATCGATTCCTAACATTTTAAATTTGCAACATTTGAAGTTGTAAATAACTGTTTACCTTAAATAAAAAAAAAGAAACTACAGTCAGAAAATAGAAAAGATATTGGAGTAACATTATGATACGATACTTACTGTATTCGATATGTAATATTTTGTATACAATATATTCTAATGTTTACCTTATTATCATCATTAATACTATTGTAACAGTTATTAAAGAAACAATTTTCTCTACAATAAACAATTTATTAATTTGTCGAACTTTCTTTAGGCTTAATATAATACGGTGGTAATGCTTACTATTTAAGCTTACTGTAATACAGTAGTATGGAGTGTAAGTTTACAAAATTTGGATACGATAAAAATCAAACCTTTTACTTTTGGGTTATATTAATATAAGTTGAAAATTACATTTGTAAATTGGGCCATCATTTCACATCTTCGTTAATTCTGTTAAAAAAAAAAAGAGGAAATATTTTTATAGCATAGAAATATATTGACATAAATAAAATATTCGTATATTATTAAAATATTTCAGAATAATCGAATTAAATCCATAAAAGATAAATTCATAATTTATAAAAGTTGTTTAAAGTTAAATATTTGTTAAATAAATGATTCATTAAACATAAAAAAGGAAGTATAATAATATAAATAATAATATATCAATGTCTTAAATAATGAATCATTTATTCAATTTCTTATTTTACTGTTTTAAAGAATATCCGATCTGATCTAATCACTAAGCTCATCCATAATTATCAATGTGATAAAAAAAAAAAAAAAACCAACTGATCTATTGTATGTATTGTAAATAACCACTGGTCTAATCGTATGTGTGAAAGAATGTTGAATTATTGTCAACAAACCCCCACTGATATCAATGATTTTCAATCGGTGGTCCATGAAGACATTGGTGCGGTGACTAGAGAACAAGCAAAAGTTCTTCTTATCAATTTTTTTATCAAGTTTATCAAAAGTATTACATTTATAAGTTTTGATTAAAGTTTATTTTCAAATCAACAGAATTTATTATTTTTAAACTTTGTTATTCATGCTACAAATAAAAAATGAAATGAGTCATTGGTCAAGAAAATATTAGGAATTACTCTAGACTATATAAATGGTGAAATTTATCATCATTCACAATTCCTCCTTTTCTTCATTTGAGTAATAGTATCTATTTTTTATTGATATCAATTCAACAATCTAATGATTAACTTTCTATTTGATATGATAACTATGATAAATGCCCTCTAACGTATACTGGGATTATATTCCTGCTTTATCAACCAAACCTTTATTTATTCGATTATACCAAAAGTTTCACAACAAATTCTGTTAACTTACAAATCGACAAAAAAAAAAAGTTGACAAACGTATAAACCTGTAATAATAAGTTATTCATTTCGAATGAGAAAGGCAAAACAAGAGGGAAAAGAAATTAAAAATAATGTAGATATAATAGAATGAATTGATTGTAAATATTAAATGATCGAAATTCTCCATTGGACATGAGAAATAACGGGAGGTAAAACGCATTCGATTGATGTGAATCGAGAATCGATTGACATGATGATGCATTTGCATATTAATTAATTCATTGTATCATATTGTTTTCATCGCTATTTCATATGAACAGTTGTTGTTGTCTGTTGTTGTTGTTGTTGTTGTTGTTGTTGTTGTTGTTGTTGTTGTTGTTGTTGTTGTTGTTGTTGTTGTTGTT